AAACACAGAAGATTTCACGCATGAAGATTCGGTTTCTGAAGAGAAACAAACGTACAAAAACTACACGTTATGGACCATCGAAGGACCAGGAGGCAGAGCCAGGCGAGGCATGGAAAGAAGACGGCGTTTGGCCGGCTACGTACCAGGCGACGCAATGAGAGAATCGGGTTAAAGCGCGCGATTTCGGAGAGTGGAGACAAATCGATCGATGGAATAGGATGGAGTAGAAGTGTAAGATGTGAATGCAACGAAGCAGAAGGCCAGAAAGAGCTTCTAGTGAATGCACTCCAAGAACCAAGTTTGAGCATCCCCGTCGCCAGCATTCGTGAAAGACGTCCGTGGGCAATTCGAACGCGTAGCAGCCTTTTCGAGTTTTCGAATTTCTAATCAAAAAACAAAAGCAATACTTCAGTTCTTTTCACTATTATCGGTGGATAATATCTCAAGCTAGTGAATGGCTTGAATAGAGATCCATGAATTTCCGCGCATAATTCGTTAAAACGATTGAAAAGTCGATAGTGCATTGTGATCTCGCTTTTCACGGCAATGTAAAGTGCACAGTGATGTACTCCAACTGACTCTTTGCAACAATAAATTGCCTTCGGGTGTTCTAACCTCCACGTTTTATTTAGGGGTTTAACGAATAAATAGGAACGCTTCATGTTTTCAGCGCTGAGTTCTTCGGCAGGTTCTCAAGATGCTCGAAAATTGGAAACGCTGCGGTTAAAGGCAGTTTGTGGGGTGGCCTGAAAGTTAAAGCCTCTGTTTACCCTCGGAAATTATTTCCCGGTCACACAACAAGGCAAAAAATTCAAACTATCTAACAAACTCGGTGGAATTCGAGGGTCCAAGATCTGCGAATTCCGTGGCAGAAGGCGTGATAAGGCGCAGAACGGACTTGAGAAGCTTTTCCCGTTCACAGACACGCCCATCGCAGACAAGTGGATAGGATGATAACTGGAATTGTCTACCGTGGTACCATGGTCGACCGGTCGAGCCTGCGAGGAGGGGAAAACGCGAGTGGGCACGTCGTACGAGAGGGCGCAAACTCCATGTATACCGTGATTAAAAAGCATGGCAGCGGTTGCAGCGGTCAAGCGAAGGCTCTAGCTCCGTCGCGTCTCGCACTTCAAAGTCACGACAGTAGGATCGCCCCTGCGATGAGAGGCCAGCGACCCTCACTCAAGGGAATAACTTCTCGAAGGATCTTCTGATTGTGACCCGTGCTTTTAACTTATCACGAGATTATTATGAGCTTTGTTGACAAATGTTTTGGTGGGATCGCCTTTCTCACAGCACAAAAGATTGGAGCAACTTATGACTATCCGACCAGACGCCTTGACAACCGCCCCATATTTCGAAACCGAACAGCTATCACAAGAATGTTGAGTTTCCTTGCAAAACACTGAGGTTAGTTTCACAAGAATGCTGGGTTGTGAACAAAAATTTCGTCCCAGATTGGACTCGAACCCGTGCCTTTTGCTTACCGGGCAAGTGCGCTATAAAACTGAGGTTGGTCTCAGCTGCGTTGCAAGGCATAAAATTGCGGCCACCGGTGCAGTAGTGGGCCACCGTAACGGCCACCCCCAAGTGCCTGTGTTCACATGCTTCAGCTTTCGCATAACACACTTAAGGTACAGTAGTTGCCAATAAAGAAAAATTGCGTAAGCAAGGACTACAAATAAAGGAAGCGTCACCCGGATCCCATACGTTCCATCATTCCACGGTCGACCGCACATGGGAAATTTCGGTGTTTTCCATGACGCTTCTTGCTTCCCCCCTCTCAAAACCTTTCCTATTGCACTTGTTGTTGATTTTCAAACAGAATAGGCACTAATTCGATCCCGTCCTGGGCCTCTGACGATGTGATTTTATGCTATGGTTTAGGCAAAACCGTATATGACGAGTTGTAATAGCTGATATTTAGAAATTCTTTTACGCTCATCGGAGTAGTCCCAGTTGATAGTAAGGGAGTCAGACATGAACCTTTTTGATTATGGCCGTAGCTGTACTGATAGAGATGCTTTCTCGCACGAGTATTCTGCTGATGCACGTCTTTTTTTTTAGCAAATCCTAACCAAGGACATCTCAGGATTGCTTTGGCGCGTCGTTTTTGTAGTTACGGGGAGTTCCTGCGATAAGTTGGTAACGTGCATATGAAAAAGGGGGTGCCACGCGGTGCGCCTCTGAAAAATGTACAAGAGAAGCAGTTAGAAGTCCGAGAATGGAGGACTTTTTCTCGCCTACTGATTTCGGAAACGGACGAGTTTTCCACTGATAGAAAATAGTTTGGGTTGAGTCAAACTTCTAAAACACGCCAAAAGGGATCGACAGACAGTTCCTGCTTCGATGGCCGGTGCAATCTGCACTTAGAAAAAAGTCGTACGGGAACGGTATGGTTTTTATTTGGGATAAATTCCAGTTATCATCCTATCCACGTGTCTGCGATGGGCGTGTCTGAGAACGGGAGAAGCTTCTCAAATCTTTTCTGTGCCTTATCGCACCTTCTGCCACGGAATCCCTAGGTGTAGGATCCTCGAATACCAACCAAGCTTGTTGGATATGTTTGGATTTTTGCCTTGTTGTTTGGCCGGGAAATGATTTGAGGCTTTCGAATTTTAGGTCACCCCACAAACTGCCTTTTTACCGTAGTGTTTCTAATTTCCCAACATCTTGACAACCTGCCGAATAACTCCGTCAGGGCTGGAAACATCAAACTTCATTCCGTTAACCCTAAAGGACAACGTGGAGGTTATAACACCCCGAAGGCAATTTATTTTAAAAGAGCTCAGTTGGAGTACATCATGTTGCACTTATCATTGCGTGAAATCGAGATTCACATGCACTATCGACTTCCATCGTTTAATATTCAATGATTTTGCTATTCTGAGGATATGTCTACATTTTCTAGAAACAGCGAGTTCTGAGGAGGAGTCGCAATTATTTGATGAGGATTGCTAACTAATTCACTTGTAAATTACAAGTAATTAGCGAAAATTAGGGTGATACAAAACCAACGTACCCGCTTAGTCTAGAAGCGCTTTCTCTAAGCTTTTCTCCCCTTGGGAATCCGTTTTGGTATTCAACTTGTTCTTAAAAGAGGGAATATCCTTGTGATTTTGAGGTGTGCTGTAAAAAGTGGTAGTACTGCTCAGAGCACCTAGGTAATGTTCGAGTTCCGGCTAAGTGGACGCTGTGCTGAACCAACGCCGAAGAGCCTTCAATAAGGGGAGGTCCGACTTTCTAACTGCTTAGAAAAGGGAATATTCGAAATTATCGGAAACCTGCTGTCGTACGGAGGTACAGACAGGACGCTTCACCTCGATGAACTTTTTGAGGAGGTTAGGCAGCTGGAGGTAGAATGGGGGTCGTACCGCCTACCTCGGAGAATAGCTCACCCTACTCTGCACTATTTCAATAGCTTACGTGAACATATGTTGATCTCTGCCACTCACCGTCTAGAAATATACGAAAATAGAATTGAATGCGGGCTAATAAGGCCGATGTCAGACTTTGCGAATCGCGCGATTCGCTAGCGTCTGCGGTCGCGTCGCGGCCAGTGAATCACTCAATTGGCTGGTACCGCAACGCGACCGCGGACGCTAGCGAATCGCGCGATTCGCAAAGTCTGACATCGGCCTAATGTGATCAATACGCACATTACATTTTGATCCTTTGTTGTGCTTTGTTATGACTTCCCTGGATCTCTAAGGATCCTTGTCCCCAATTTCTATAACAGTGAGGTTAGTCATTGCGGTAGTCTGTGAGAATGCCAGTATAATTCGCTATGGTGTACACTATTCGATTTCTAAGCTGAGCTTACAAGGGAAAGGATGGTAGGTCGAAGTGGCCGTTTGAAATGAAATGTATACCTCCTGATGCGT